CCTCTTCGTATAAGGACACCGGATGTATTTGGATTAATCCTCACCCCAGTGACTCCATTTATCCTTAATCACCTCCTCAGGGGCCCCATCTGCTTTTGTAGTCACATTTGCGGCACTGAGTGATAAGATTTAGCGCATATATTTTGGGGGACATGGTTCAGCCCATCACAGTGATCATGATCACCGTCCTCCTCCTCACCAGCCATTAGGCTTTGTCTTCTCTCCCAGCTACCTTTTACTGATTGGTCCACGTGTGCCCACTGAAGCCTCTCCTTAGTGACCTCACTTGATCATTGCAGCGTACCTATAACCTGCGTTTTACAGGCTAAGAGTGCTGAGGCTGATTCCCTTTGTCATCTACTCAGGCAAGGTGCTCTCTCTTGTCCTCTCCCCTCCCGCAATTTGCAGACCAGGGGGCTGTCATGCACCCCTCAGCTTGTAAAAGCAAACGCAGTTCTCCAAATTGCACCATTAGGCTCTCTCAGAGAGAAGAAGTCCTGAAACCTTTGGCTGATCCAGGTTCCTGCACGCTTGAGCGATCTGGAATTTCCCTGCACTGAGAGGGACCTGTGTGTGGCTCTCTACCCTTCCCTGAAACCATCAGCCTTTCCCCAGCTCTGTGGGCCTCGGTGCCCTGAGAGAAGTCTCGGCTTTCTTCCTCAGCCCCAGCCACGGCCCAGTGTGCTTCTCCACCCCTGGGTCTTATGGCTTCTATCTCGTGTCCCCTAAAGCCTCAGGTGATCATAGACAGGACCCTTGGGGGATGATTGGGCTATAGGGGTGTATAGCTGACTTGCTATGGGGAGGCAGGGTCAGGTGGGAAGAGGGAGATCACTGTGGGCCTGGCCTTAGTTCCTCCTTTCTCTCTGTGCTTACTGTCCACTGTGCCAGGAGTAGCTCTCCTCCACCATGCTCCTCTGCTGTGCTGCCCTGCCTTGGGGCCAGCCGACTGTTGACTGAAACATGAGCCCAAATCAACCTGCACTCCTGTAAGTTGTGGGTGTGGGGAATTGTGTCTCAGCGACGCAAAAGTGACCGTGATGCCACCGTGCTTACCTCGCCGTATCTGCTCACCCCCCAGACCTGAGTTGCCACAGCCTGGTTTGGCTGCTGGTCAGGAAGGAAAGACAAACAGATCTGTAGCCCTAGAGAGACACTGGAAACCAAAGAAATACAAGGTTTCAATGAGGCTTCTCACCTCCATATTCTGGTCTGTGTTGGTGAAGGAGTGAGGTTTGTGTGGAGCTGGGTGTGGGAGTACACTCCTGTAACGCCAGCACTCCAGGAAGCTGAGGCAGGAGCATTGCAAATTTGAGCCCAGCCTGGGCAAAATAGTGATTTAGTGAGACACTGTCTCAAAATAAAAAATCAAAAGGGCTGGGGATGGGGTTCAGTGAGAGGGGCCTGGGTTCAATCCAGAACCAACATCAAAAATATATATATATACATCCCTACTCTAGCGGATCCTAACAAGGGATTCATCATTTATGGGGCCCTGTAGAAGGTGGAATTTGCAGACAGCCATAATCTGCCCTCTGATGTTACTCCTGGGGCCATGATTCATTCTGCTGTAAAGAGGAGATTGTCAGGCAGACCTAATCTGATCATCAGAACCTTCTCAACGAAGAGGGGTGAGGGAGGCTTGAAGCAGCAGGAGGTCTGCTCGCCCCATTGCAGCCTAAAGCAGCCTCCAGATGCTGAGAAAACTCCCCACTCATGGGCAGCAAAGAGCCCAGGGAGCTGCATTCTGCAACGACCCCAAAGAGCCAGGAAGTGGGCTCTTCTCCTGGATGCTCAGGGGCAGCCCGGTGGACACTGTGGTCCTGACCTGGAATACCCTAGACCAGTGGTGGTGAACCTGTGACACTTGTGAATGCTCTAATAGCTTCTCCATCACTGCCCTAGGAAGAGATCCCCCAATCCTGCTCAGATTTCTGGCCTACAGGACAATGAGCTGGTTAGTAAGTGCCTGTTTTAAGCTGCTGTATTTGTGGTGATTTCTTGGGAGGCCAGGAAAACCAATCAGAGGCTTTCCTGTGGTGGCTCTGAGTGGGGAACAGGCAGTGTGGGGATTACAGGTCTTTGCTCACCTGCGCTCAAAGTCAGCTGCAGGAATCCGAGGTTCAGGTGGCCACAGAGGCCCCCTCTGCAGCGGGTGTTGGGGACAGTCCTGGGGACAGGGTATCCTCTGTGGGACCCGGCAGGGCTGCAGGGAGGATGTCAGGCAGGCTGACCCTGGGAGACCTTTCTTGAGTCGCTGGGCCACATGGATGTGTCTGGGCTCTGGCTCTGTCCAGGGCACCTCTCCCTGGCTGTCCTCTCTCCTGCTGTCCCTGAAGCCCCACCACCTCTCATTCTTCACCTGCCTCCATAAGGAATCTCCATCCCCTTCCTTCAGTCCTTGCCCCCAACTGCCAGTGTCACCATGTCTCCATGTGGGGCAGTCTCACTCCCTCTAGGTGAGCTGCTCAGTGACCTGGCCCAGCCCCCTGCCCAAAGGCTCCCCTTTGCAGTTTGCTGGGGCCTCCCCTGTGTGTTCAGCCCCGCAGTATTGGTGGTGATTCCTTAGGACTGATGGGGCACGGAGGAAGGTGTGTCTATGAGAGTTTGCTTTCTAGGAATTGACAGCTTCAATCCTGTCCTCTCTCTGAAACACATGCTTGATGCTTTTCTTATCATGGACTCCACATTTCCACCAGCACCCAGATCAGCTTCTGTCCCCAGGGTATCGCCATCTGATACTGTTCTGTATGATCAGGCAGGTGATCCCCTGCCTGCTGATAGTTCACTGTTTCTGCTGATAAGAGGGCAGAGTGAGAGGAAAAAGGCTGCAGGGCTTTATTAAACACATTTATCACCTGGAAAACAAAACCATTTTTACTGAGGCCAAGAGAAGCGGTCGAAGCTCAGTGCAGCACACACCATCTACTCTGCACCGGGCAGCATGTGGGCACCGGGCACATGGAGGAGAGCGGGAACAGTCTGCCCCGCACCATGGGCCCTGCACTGCCCTGCCAGCCACAGTGGACACTGGCCAGGAGCTGCGTTTCCCTCCAGCCCCAGCTCAGCTCTGGATGTGAACGTGAAGGAGATCTGTCGTGTCCCAGAAGACCCGAAGATGAAGAGCGAGGCTGCGTGTGTAGACAGGTCCACTCCAGGGCGGAGTGTGAGGATGGGCCTGTGAATGGGGCACAGCTGGGACTCCCGGGTGAAACTAGTAACCATCGGTATTTGGAGTAAGCCTCAGTGACTCTCGGGGTGTCTATCTGGGACCCCCTCAGATACCCCAATCCAAAGATGTTCAAACCCCTCACATAAAATGTATAGAGTTTGCCTAAGACCCACCCCACTACCCATGCTCTGAATTATCTCTAGATGACTTACACCGAATACCGTGGAAATGCTGTGCAAATGGTTGTCACAGCATATTGATTAGGGAATAGTGACAGGAAAAATAGCCTGCACATGCTTAGTCTTCTTCGGCCACTCCAGGCTTCTTACCACAGTCAGTGACCTGACTACCTGATGAATGAATGGACTCTGCATTCTTATGTATGAAGAACAAGACTTTTCAGAACTCTAGGATCAGGACAGAGGGCCTGTTCTCTCCCACTTACTCTACCAAGGAGAAGGTGCTTTGCTCCTCAGGGTGAGGGCAGCTTCACAAGACAGCAGGCGCCTCACCTCCGTGGTGTGTGGAGGGCCAGGGAGGGGTGTCTCCAGATAAGGGGTGTGGAGGGATGGCCTTCCAGGAGGGGACACAGCAGTGTGGAGACAGGGCAGCTTGGAGCATCACAGGGACTCTGGGGACCGGGACTGCTTTCTGGAGGGCAGCTAACACCTGCCTTGTGCCCCTCGGGGCCTATGGAGGAGACACATGCATTTCCTAGCACACTCATGGTTACGGCTCTGTGGTCCAAGCGCATTGCTTTTTTCCTCTCCTTGACCTCTGGTGAGCGGAAAAGAGGTCAAAGTCAGGAATTTCTTCCCCCGGCAAGTGATTCTGGGAATAAGCCAGTGTAGCTCAGAGAACAGGCTTTTGCTGGGTTAACCATTAACCCCATCTTTGTATTCTGAGCATGCTGGGCATTTGATAGCTCAGTGGATTCTGACTTCGACTTGACTGGAACACAGTTCAACACAATTATCCTCAGTCTCATATGTTTCATACACGAGGAGCTAATTGTATTCACCAACTTCCCCACACCCCTGCTTCATTATGGAGTGAACTAATCAATTCACTTTATCTCTGTAAATAATGTGTCTTTCCTAGTTATTGGAAACTGACTGTAATTCAATGTAATTCAGAAATATTTACCGAACACATTATGTAGCAGGAGTGGTGTGCGGCACTATGAATATGGAGATTAGCACATTCAATCATCCCTTTGGTTAATGAGTATTTATTGAATATTGTGTAGTAAGCACTCTGCTAGGTGCTAAGAGAACAACAGCAAAAAATAAACATGGCCTTTGACCTCGGGAGCTTGGAGTGTGGTAGGGAAAAGCGAACTTAATCAGATAAACAAATGCACGCAAAACTATTCAGAGTGGTGCATACGGAGAAAGTCTGGCTGCTCTGGGGAACTGCCTGGTAGGGGGCTGGGATGTGGGCTGGATGTGGAAGTGGCCCCTGGGGACACAGAAGAGGAGCAGAGCTGGAGTGCAGGGCTCAGAGAAGCACACCGGGGCATAGGGAGCAGAGCCACTGTTCCAGGCAAGGCAGCAGCCTAGCTGGAGTGATGGGTATAGGGTGGGGGCAGGAGAGGCAGGGGGTTTGCTTTCCTGGGGGGACACAGGGGTGCAGGAGGGAGTGAGGGAGTACCAGCAAGGCTGTCCTGCTGTCACACTCAGGCCAGGCCCGAGGGGCAGGTGAGCAGCCACCGTGACAGTGCAGGTGGCAGAAGATGGGCGAGACCTAGGTGGCCTCGGGGCCCAGAAGGCAGAGACACGGAAGAGGCAAACAGAGCCGCCCGGTAACGGACTGAGAGGCAGGTTGGGGGAGGAAGGGGGCCTACAGGATTTGAGCTGAACGTCACCACCACTCATCCGGGTTCTGCTGCAGCTGTGAATTTGAGGTGGCTTTGAAACCTCCGAGAGGAGCACCGGGGTGGCCAGAGCCTAGAGGCCAGGGACACCTTGGGTAGTCATTGGCATGTGACTGAAGCCTGTGGAGAGGAGAAACGGAGAGAAGTGAAGAGAACGGAAGCTGTGAGAGGAGGAAGGTGGCAGGTTGTAGGGTGGAGGTGGCCGACTGTGGCATTTGACTGGCCGAGCGTGCAGTGTGTCTGAGGTGTGGAGGGGACAGTGGCGCAGGAGAGGGTGGTCAGGACGAAGAGCACAGCCAGATGCCCAGGAGGCTCGAGGTCAGGACTGCACTCTTGACCGAAGTGGGCTGGGGGGCGCAGTGGGGAGCAGGAGGATGGAGGGAGCCCTGCAGGAGTGTGATGAGCTGGGAAGGCGTGGGCAGGGCCACGGCGGAAGGTGGTGTGGCCCAGCGACTCATCCTCCAGTGCCCACAGGCCAGGCCCGAGACAGGCAGGCAGGAAGGGACAGCAGGGTCGCAGGGACCGAGGTCTGGGGGCGACAGCACCAGGGGGACCAGGACCGGCGTGTGCAAGAATTTAAAAATCTCTGTGCTCAAGTGGTCCCTCCTGGGCCCCCCAAACCTGTCCCTTGTCTTGTGTGCCGTTGCTGATGTTTTCGCTGCGTCCCGAACACGGGTGGGGAGAAAGTGGCTGGTGTGGAGTACCACGCAGCCCTCTTCAGGGCAGGGCCGGGGGCAGCTACAGCCAAGGCAGTGCCGGTTACACTGGAAGCCACTGAGGAAGTGGGTGGGCATGTGGGCAAAGGGGCTGAAGAAGCCAGGCAAGGTTTGGCAAATCTGATTTGTTTCCTTCCTTCTTCTTCCTTTGCAGTCAACTTTGACCATTTTCAGATTCTGCGGGCCATTGGTAAAGGGAGTTTTGGAAAGGTAAGACTAATGTATTTTATTAAAAAATTCATCAACAGAATATGAGATGTGATCAAACATATGGGGAATATTTAAATATAAAAAATTATTCAATGAAAGACACATTGCCATTGATCCCCTCATTTCAAAACACTTATTCCATCATTCTTGGCAATGTATCTTTTACTGCGGTATTTTTTTATGTAAGCATTAATCTTATTTTTCAGTCACTCACATATGAAAGTCTAGACTAGGCTTAAGTGTATGTGTAAATTTGTGTCTGTTTTGACGTCTGTTTCTAGGCACAGTGAATTTCCTGTCCACAGAAAGATTTCAGTTTGACAAATCTGAAAAGTGAAAGGGCGTCTGGACAGTTTCCTTGGGGCCCGGTGTAATTTCATTCTGAAAATTAAATTACCACAGCAGCCCTGGTTTAGGAGAATTGCAGCAGTAATTATTTTAAAATTGCTAATGGTGTGCCTTCCTTGGGAATCTAAATGAAGAAAGTAGAAATAAGAGCCCACAAATGATCACAAAAGTAGCTCTTCCGGCAGCATACACATTTATTTTTCAGAAAGTTCACATTTGTGATCTTTGATTGCTTTGGATGAAACTTTATAAAAATTATGAGAATGCGGGGGCTTTTAGAAAGTAAGGGTTTCCCTCAAAAAAAGTGATTTCCTTGAGAACCTTTTGAATGCTAGGTTTTCTATGCTGTTTAAATAAGTATTATAATTATTTGCATTTTACAGGTAGAGTAACTTAGAAGTAAAACCTGAGACTCAGTAACTCGAGAAACAGGAACATTGTACTTATGGCCACACAGGCAACAGGTTTCAAAGCTGGGATTTGAACCCAAGGCTGCTCGGTGACCAGGGACGCGCTGTGTCAGGAACCTCATATGGTCACCAGAGTGTTCACAGCTTACAGGGTTCATTGAGACGTTTGACCCAAGAAATTGAATAGACTCAAGCAACCCCTCTCTCCTTTTTCTTCCTCTTCTTTTATTAATCCAATCTAGGACTATTAATTGAATGCATACTTTGTACCGGGCACTCTGTTGATCAAAGACACCCAGAGCCTTTTCTCACTGATCGTTTAACATTTAAAAAGGAAACAGCTGGCAAAAAGATGAATGTGGACATTGGTGGTGTATTAGGCAGTGATCAGTGCATATGAAAAATGCAGTGGGGGATATGGAGTTTTAGGTGGAGAGGGACAGGAGGACATTGCTGTTTTATACAGCTGGGCTGCCAATCGGATCACCACTAACCACATGTGAATATTGAATTTAATTAATTAACATCAAGTGAAATGACAGATTGAGCAGCCCCTCAGCAGCACTGGCCACATGTCAAGTGCTCGGCAGCCACGTGTGGCCCATAGCTGCTTTGAAGAAAGACCCTTTTCTAATGAATAGGCAAAGCCCCGAGGGCGGTGACAGAGGTGACATGCAGGTTCCAGGCAGAAGGCTCTAGTGCAGAGACCAGGAAGGCGGTGTGCTTGGTGGTGCTGAGGGGCTTCCATGCAGTGGGGTGCTGGGAGGTGGGGTGCTGGGAGGTGGGGCATCGGGAGTCACCCAGCACTGGGTCATGGTGGACCTCACTGGAGGTGGTGCACATGTTGGTCGTTTCTCAGAGGGACAGGGCTAGGCCCTAAGGGGGTTCAGATGTAGGAGTGGCACGTCTGTTTGTAGCTGTGGAGGAGCAATTTGGCTACAGTGTTGGGCAGAGCCTGGGAGGGCCAAGGGCAGAAGCGAGGAGCAGCAAGAAGGCCCCTGCAGTACCCAGGAGGGCTGGTGGCTCAGGTCAGGGTGTTGTGCTGGAGGTGGAGTGCAAGACAAATTTTTGTCTGGAGTATAGATACATTTTGAAGGTGTCACCAAATCCCACAGTCCACAGATGCAGGCTTTCTGATGGTCTGAAGAGGTTGCACAGGTTCTGTGTGTCACATTGTCACCCAACTAGGACTCATTTTGTGACTTTATAGTGAATGTCCATCCCAGAATCCCCCAGCAGAATTCTCCTCTCTCACTGGCTGTAACTGGTCACATTATCACACCTAGCTGCTGAGAATGCTGGGAATGGAAGCCTCTTTGTTCAGCCAGATGGCTGCAGGCAAGCTCTTTAGTGGAGAGAGTGGGAGAACAGCTGGGGCTACCAATGCCTTTGGGATGTGCAGTGTGCTGAGATCACTGTGCTTGCTGCTTGGGAAGCCAAGCTGAGTGAGATGGGCGTGTCCACAGCTGCTGACTGGACCTTAGCAAAGCTGTCCTTCACTTCTATCCCTGACCCTCCTTGGTCCATCCTGGCCTCGTCCTCCACTGGGGCTCTTCCAAAAAAGTGTCTCAAGTGGATAATTTGCCTCTGGACACTCATTGCAAATCCATCCCCTCACCAGCCAGGGTGCAGGGGTGCCCGTGGCTTCCCTCCCCCTATAAGCCAGCTCTCTCCCTGAGCCACACTCACTCCGCCCACCCTTCGAGTCGGGCTCTGCTGTGCAGGGATTCCGAGGCTACCTGATGGCTCCTAAGCATGGTATCTTTGGGCAGCAAGGGTTCCTCTTGGAGTACTTTCCAGCACGGTCACTGAGCATGTGAGGCAGCCTGGGACAGCATGGACAGCATTTCGCCTGTCAGGCAGATGGGGCACAGATGCTGACCGATCTGCGCTGAATCTCACTCTGAGTCTGTGTGTCACCTGTGAAGTGGGCGTGCCCTGTCTTCTGCACAGGGCTGTGGTGAGAAGTAAGAGATAGCAGAGGACAGTGCCAGACATGGTTGCCACACCGAGGTCCAGCACATGCATCTCTTTTGCCTGGGGTACTTTTGCCCCTGGACAGTGGCAAGGGAGGAATTGAGGGCTTTGTACTGGGTGTGCTGAGTTGAAGTATGTGGCGTGGGAGCTTCTGCTTGGAGAGGCCTGCGATTGTACAGAAACCTGGCACTGGGGACTGCTGATAAACGGTGGCTCAGAACAAGGTCTGGCAAGGTTCATGCCCTCATCTGACACTCATTCTTCTTGGAAACACTCATTCGTTCTTGGCTTAACAGTAGTCTTGTCACTGTGCTGTCTCTGAATCTGTCTTCTCCAGCTATTGGCAGTTTGTGTGGATTTGGTTAAAGATTAGCTACAATCTGTTTGTTCATTCTTACGTTGACTCATCCCCATTCATCCATCCATCCCACCCATCTCATCCCAGCCCATCCCATCCATCCGTCCAACATACGTGGGGCAAATAGATCCTATTATAGGTTCTGAGGTTATAAAACTGAACCAGGTGTTGCCTGCTCTGTATCAGTTCAGTATGAGAGTTTGCAAACATACAGTGAAGGTGAAAGAATTTTATAGTGGACACCCATATCCACTATGTATAATCTATGTTAGCATTTTACCAAACTTACAGTATACCTGTCCTCTACCCATCTGCCAATCCATTTTGTTACGTCTCATAGCGAATTGCAAATATCTGTACACTTCCCTGTAAGTATTTCAGCATAGAGGTTTGCATATAGTTTTTCTTTTGAGGTAAAAGGTCCATACAACAAAATGCAAAAATTTTGACTTTTGAGAAATGCATTTGCCGAGTATGCAGAATCCCTACTGGAATGTGGAATATCAAAAGTCCCGTTTTTGATCCTCTCCAGCCAGAACCCATCCCCAACTTGACCACCGCATCCACTACAGGTTAGATTTGCCATTTGCAAAAGTTGCTATGAAGTGAAGCCACACAGTCACATTCTTTGCAGTACAGTGTTTTTGAGGTTCGTCCACATTGCTGAGCATCAATACGCTCCTCTTCCTATCAGTGAACAGGATTCCATTTTATTAATAGCTCACAGCTTATTAACCCATTCTCATCACAATAGACTCCAGGACTTTTTTGTAGCTTGAACTATTTTGCCTCAAGTTGCTATGAGACTTTGTGTAGAAGTCATTTTTGGTAGACATACATTTGTATTTCTCTTAGGCAAATAGGATTGGACTGTCTGGATCATGCAGTAGGTATGCATATGCTGTATACAACACTGTTGAGTTTACAGTGTGGTTGAACCATTTTATTCTCCTGAGGCAGGAGGATTGGGCAAATTTGAGCAGTTCCTGGGCAAGTTCAAGCCCAGCCTGAGCAACTTAAGAAGACCTCGTTTCAAAGTAAATAATAAATCTGGGCATGTAGCTCAGTGCAAAAGTCCTAGGTTCAATCTCCAGTACCACAGGAAAAAAAAAACCCATGTGTTTCATTCTTTGCCAACATATGGTGGTAATTAATATTTTTAATGTAAGTTATTCTGATCAGTATTTTGTAGTAGCTCAACATAGTTTTAATTTGGGTTGGCCCTGAAAATGATGATGAACTTTTTTCACGTGCTTAGGGACCAGTCATGTATCTTTTATTTGTGACCTGTCCATTCAAAACTTTTTTTGCCACTTTTAAGAAATGAGCTGTGTTTTTATTATTGAGTTATAATATACATTTTCAGACGTAGTCCGGTGTCAGATATGTGAGTATTTTCTGCCAGCCTGGCTTATCTGTTAATTTTATGTATGACTAACATTTTTATTCACAGAAGGTTTCAAAGTTAATGAGGTTTTATTTCTTGAGTATTTTTCCTTTTAAGATAACTGCTTTATGTAGCTTGCGGAGGAAAATTTGGCTCAAGAAAGCATACTGAAGTCATGAAGTTTCCTATGTTTACTTTCTAGAGGTTTTGTGGCTTTAGCTTTCAGTCCTGTGATTAATCTTGAATTAATTGTTTTGTAGGGTGTGAGGCAGGGCCAAGGTTCATATGTTCCATATGGATATCCATTCCTTGAAAACATTTTCCCTTTTTCATTGGCTTCCTTTGATGTCTGTGTGGAAAATCAGATGACTTGGAATAGTAGGAGACCTTCTCAGTTCTTTGTTCCTTTGACCTACTTATTGATCTTATGCAAGTCCAGACTGCCTTAATTGCCATAGATTTCTAGTAAGTCTTGAAATTGGAAAATGTATATTCTCCAAATTTATTCTTTTACAAAAGT